TCAACCTATGGGAGGACTAAGATACCGAGTGGTTTTCAGCAGGACTGAAAGCATTGGGGTATCGAAATGAATGTGTCATTCGTGTTCAAGTGGACCATATTAAATAATAAATATAGTCGTTCAAAAATACAATGTGTGTTTCTATGTTAGGCCCGAAAATTTTTGACACTACTGTATATCAATAATTTCAACTTCGATACTTTGTATTGTTTACTTCAATGTAAAGAATGCGTTCATGAGCTGTCAAAACTTAAAGTTGTTCAAGTTTCGCAGTGAAAATTCATGAAATATGTCGAGATTTGGGAGCCGAGAATTGGACGATGAATATCCAACATTTGGAATTTTCGATGTTACGACGGAAAAATGGAAAATAATAATATATTAAATATCAAATTGAAGTTGAAAATTCAAACAAATAGTCCGACATTTGGGCGAGTGTCCATAATTGATTTTGTTCGCTGGTGCTGGCCATTCAAAACGAGAAATAACGTATTTTTGAGGGAATCGTTAACATCACATCCACACTTTTTATTGGTTTTCAATATTATAGGTTGTGCTTAAAAAAATTCACGAATCGTATTAAGTAGATTTCAAAATGTTTTGTACTGATGTCATAGTATCCTGTTATGACAAAAACATGTATTACTGTTATAACATTCATTTAATTTCCTTACGTTTATTTTGAATTGGTTTTGAAATCTGTCGATTTTCCATGTGCACATTGTTTAACCACATTTGTCTCACTCACCACTGTTTTTTTTTTGCTGCGAGTGCATCGATGGCTATGAAATGCCTTAAAATCAAATAATCGAATTACTTGATACAATACCAAAAAGTGTTAAAGTTTATACATTGACGAAAATTGTAAATGCTGCATTCGTTTTCATTGATTTTGTCATCATCCAATTTGTCTGTTTGAATCAATGAAAAGTGTCGTTTGCACTTGGTTGATTTCGATTCTCGCACATAACCATGATACATAATGGTTGCTCGTCGAAAAACAAACAAATGCAATTGAGAAGTACATACCGTTGATTAAGCACACTGAATTTACCTACATTCCAATAAATGAATTTTGATTTGTGTTTCCAATCAAAGTGCTTGAATTTTCAAGGGAATCACATGAAGCTATTTCATCATAGTTTTTCTATTCATGAATTTACCATCCACTTCTCTCTCTCTCTCTCTTTCTTTATGTTGCTTTATCCATTTTCATTTTACCTTTAACCCTCGACGACGCGTGTATGTGACTCTAGACGAAACGCATTTAAATGAAATGCATACATGTAAAATATCAATGGCATAATAAACCAGAAATCGTATACTATTATTAGAATATCGGAAATGGTCATAAAATAACGTTGGTTTATCGTAGAGAACGATGGCAATCAGAATTATGCCGCACATAAAATGATGATGATCAAAAAATAGAAGATAGGTGATAACAGCTCACGATGACATTTCTTTTGCATTTACATGCAATGGCAAACAAACTGCAATTCATTCGTAGATGGTATCTTAAACGTCTATAAAGAATCATGTCATGAGCACATTTTCTTGGAATTCCACATTTACGGAAGTTACTTTCCAAACCCAAATGACTGCTTTTACCTATTTTCCACATATAAACATCCTTTACCCATTCTATTTGTCATCCTGTGTAGCACGTCATCATCATCGTCGTTGTCGTCATCATCGTCATCGAAAAATAATCATAATAATTTTTTAAGTCGGATATTTATCGGTTCACAAATGTGAGCCAATAAAATTAAGTATCCCTATGTAGAAAATATGGGGGCACACTTATTATGAACGTATGAAGAATGCACGGAACCCACAGTAACTGCGAAAATAAGCGAACAATGGAAACTATATTTTATAAAAGTACGGCCGATGAAAGTTCCAATCCGATTCTCTTCGACTTTTCTGAATATTCCAATAAAGGTATTATAATATATTTCATGTTCCTTGTGCTCATTCTATTGAATGAATTGGAATAAACAAGAATACAATACAAATACAATTAGTAATTAGTATTCAATTGGTGTTGGCACTGTGACCAATGTTCTACTTCAATTTACAATTTCTCATTATTGAATGGTCTTTATTGTCGTTTTCAAAAATTTTATTACAAAAGAAAATACCGTCGGAACATATGCGTATTATAATTTCTTAAAAAAAAAATTTCAAAAAAAAATTTCAAAAAAAATTCTTTTTTTCGGTTTGATTAGAGGAAGCGAAAATAATATAGTGTATCATCTTGAATTGCGGTGAGACGCTTCTTAATTTATGTTCTTACTTGAAAAAAGAAATAAAGAAAAATACTATTTCAATAAATTGTTGTTGAGACAGACATAAAGTGTTTTCTCGTTTATGTATTGGAAAATTGTGGCGCTCTAGTGGTTGCATACCGAATATTTTAAGCACTTAATTTGTATTCTCTTCCCCGTTGGGTGTCATATTCGTGCACAGTTTATTGACATAAATATTTGCCGTTCTGTCCACCATTTAGGTGCAGTAGATAATGACATTTTTAAACGAATTAATTATTTGTATGAACAACCTCTATTCTATTGCCGCCGACTTGAAATCGTTATATGACAAATCATCATTTCAACAAAGTTGGTCGAGTAAATTTGTTTGCACGAAATTGTCAAACGACATGGTTTCTAATACAAAAATATGCTTATAGCAAACCTCTGATTTCGTTTATGCATTTTCGTTCCATAAATATTTCTTTGGCATATAAATAAACATAATTACACGCTGGAAATATGTGCTTACCTTCTCATCTGAGAAACTATAGCATTTAATCATTTTGATCTATAGCATAAAGTTGAACGTATCTTCTTTATGAATTAATTTTTATCATGAAAATACGAAATAATTTACGCATCTATATCATTCAATAAAACTGTTTTATAAGCTTGATAGTTTACAAAGGGCCTAATTACAACATTATCCAGACTGAATTCAGTTTCTTTGGTTGAGTTCAACGCTCATTGTGTACATTTGGGGACTTATGACCCCAAGGGAACGAATCTCGATCAAAACATCGAGAATTATGCGATTTTTGGCGACTTTCATGCGAAATTATTTGGAAGCGGTGCTCGAACTTCACATTGAAGTAACCAATTTTAAGTTAAAAATCAACTATTCAAAAAATATTTTTAGTTACTAACTATTGATAGTATAAAAATCAAAGAACAATCTCATCATCAGCGACAATGAAATAAAACTAAAATTGAAAAATGTAATACAAAATAATTGAAATGTGTCGGGCAAAATACCATTTTTACTTATTTTGCTAATAATTTGCATTTTTAATAAGTAGGATATTTCATTTTTAGTACGGAGTCAAAGAATTTCCATTCTCTTCAAATGTTAAGAAAAAAACAGTTTTTCTATCAGTTATTGACTGAATTTATATATTTTGCAAGTTAAATGATACGTGTTAATCGTATATAGCAATACATTTGGAATTATTTTGAAAAAAAGAAAACCATATGAAATATCTATTTGAAAAAAGTTTATTTGCCAAGAATATTGTCGACTAAGTTGACAACAGTGAAGAATATAAGCAGTTTAATTCAATATTTGTATTTTTCGATAAAACCATCTGTTGAAATTAAATTTGATATAATTCCACTGAGAAGTATTTGTCGCAAATATTTGCGCATACATTTCTATGAAGTATATTTTTGCAATAATAATTTTTGAATCATCCCACGTCAAGGATAAAGAAAAATCAATTTAAGGTTTTTCCAATTTACATTTAGTATCACAATATTTGTTTATTTTGAGAAAATAAATTTTCATAAATTACGAACGAACGAACGTGTTCGTTGTTCGTACGAACAACGAACGAACAATCCGAACATTTCAGTTTCTACGAACGAACGAACGAACGCAATACAATTCTACGAACGAACGAACGAACAAAAAGACCAAAAAAATATTCTACGAACGAACGAACGAACGTTCGTGGACAGCTATGCCTAGACCTTTGGCCCCGATTGATGTATGGTTCCCAGTCTATGTATTTCGGATGGATATCCATCCGAGATATTTTAGAATATCTGGATACTCATCGGAACTGCGCAGCGTCAGAGCTGTGTTCGTCGCAAATAGAATCTATGATCGGATGATTTTACTATAAAAGTCATTTGGTATGTCTGGCCGGATGCATTTTCTCGAAAAAGGCTCCACCGTTTCTTTTAAGAATTTCATCGATTTATGCCCCAAGTCAAAGATAAAAAAATGTGTATACTACACACCACTGAAAATTGACCGATTATGAGCCATAATTTATAGCATTTCGATAGTATTTCAAAATTATTCAAATTCATGTGTGGAGATATTTTGAATCTTTAATTTAGAAAATGTCGCTCACAAATCTTTTGATATCAAATAAAAAACCTCTATCGAGGTGAAAAACGAGTGACGAAACTGAAATTGGAAACACAAAATTTCTGATATCAATTTTGTGACGAAAATAGTTGGTAGATATTTTTTCTGTGGACTGTGAATAAAAACTTCTCTGTGAAAGTCTCTAAAAATGCAACCAAAAAGTTGCTTCTTATAGAGAAGCACATTATAAAGTAAGAGCGGTTGCATTTTCTGTGAAGTTGCGTTTTGTGCGAGTTTCTATTTCCGAGATTTTACTGTATTTTAATACGAACGTTGGGCTGCTGAAATGCTAGGGACTTTTATGTATTCGTTCATACAAATTTATACACAATATTCACGTCCTATTCATCATATACACTATCAAAATTTCTTGCCTATACTAGTGAATAAGGTGTATTTTACACACGCAGTATAACTACACAGAATCGAAGAAGATCCGCGCAAAAGAGAATGAAAAAAACATGCCATAGACGAAATATAATTTCAATTTTTACAATTATACACATTTTTTGCGCGTCCAGATGATTTTGCAATATTTACAGTAATAATCGTATACATTTGAACATAAAAGCCTCTAGCTGAAATGAATAAAAAGTGATGTCGAAATAAATAAAGTCATCAGTTCTTTTCCGCCATTTGAACCGTTGAAGAATTTTTGTTTAAAAATTGAGAAGAAATGAAATTAGCTTACGTATTAGCTGTGAATTTATTCCTCTTTGAAGGATTTGTGAGTATTTTTTTCGCTGAAAACAGTTTCAACCCTCTCATTTCATTTATTTAAAACAATTCATTACACTGACAAACCGCTTCGCGTTTTCAATTAGATAACTCAATGTGAAAGTGCGGGTGGATCTGAAAAACCATCAACCAGCGCAAACCAACAACTATTGCCTGATAATGTACTTGAAGAAATTTTCTTCAAGTCTGGATTGGAAACAACGAAAAAAGTGGCAAGGGACCAAATAAGATCAGGACTTGCTGGTAAAAAAATATTTAAGGACCGCATAATTGACCTGTACCCAACTAGATGGGGAAATAGTGAAACAGAAGAACGTTTTCAACTTGGTGACCATATTATTTACATCTACAGTTATAACAGAATAGTATCTATTTTTGAGGAATTTGGTGACGTTATAAACAGGGTTAAAATAAGCTTTGAATTTTTAGATGAAGATATTCGCCATAAGATAAACGAAAATATCATCAAAAAGTATTCAAAAAATTGGACAGAGCTTTATATAAGCGCTCCAAATTTTTTGGAAATCATAGATGAAATTTCAAACGGAGAGGGAAGAATTCGCTTTCCAAACGTGAAAAAGTTTACGTTTAGTGGTGTCGGTCATGAAGGTGCGAATTTTGGAGGTTCATACGATTTGAATTCAATATTTCCAAAACTTGAGTCTTTAACATTATACTATACTATGATTTTTATTCATTACTCAAAAATGGAAATTAACGCAAATTGCTTGAAAAATGTCACAAAATTGAAAAAATTACAACTAGATATCGCTCCTGATTCGTTTGAAGTACAAGATCTAAAAAATATGTTAGCAAGAAATAAACAAATAACTGACTTTGGATTCACAATAACAAACAATACCGATACTCTTCCTTCGGTCGTAAAATATTTGAAAAATTTACAAACACTTAAAATTCAAATTGATGGCACCGAATTTTTGGATCATATATCTGATGAAACAATATTCAATATACCAACCTTAAAACGGCTTAGCATAAGCGGGGGACAAGATGACTTTCGAACCATTGATTTTATTAATTGTTTTAAGAAAGTTGAAACAGTTGATATGATCAGTTCAACTGATTCGATCAGATCAGATATTGGAAGATTGATTCATGCCAAAGAATTTATTACAACTCTTGTAAAAATTGCCAACCTACAAGAAATATTACAAAATTTTGATGAGAAGAGAACCAATTTGAAATGGTTTAAGATACTAAATGTTGATAAATCAGAATATCGTGATTATAACAATGAAATTACCAAAATTAATCAAGAATTAAAGAAAGCTGAGAAACCAACATGGAAACCATCTTATTTTAATTGGAATATAAGGGGATCTGGACACATGGTATTGACACGTGAAAATTGAAAATAATTTTAAAATCTTCAACAATAATTAGGTTTTTAATGAGGCCGTGGCACTCTTTTTCCCTGCAAATTGTTAAAATAATAAATACCGATACTTTTATTTGAAGAATATTTATTGAATGACTTTTTTTATTTGTTACTAGCAGCTTTTATTTTACAGTCCGGATATTTTTTTTATCGACAGATTTGCTCCGTATTACAGATTTGGTGAACTGTGGTTTCGAACTGTGTACTTTAGTTCAAAAAACTAGTAAGAGTTCACAAAATTATTAGAGATGATTTTTTTTACTAACAATTATAATATAATCATACAAAATATCATATTTTCATTACAAATACGCCCATGCGAAAAAAGAAAACTTTGAAGAAACCAGATGTATTACAAAAATTATTATTATACTTTATCAGGCTTAATTCGTGCCTTAATATTCAAGTAATATTAAGAAAAACCCAACATACCGCCGAATCATTGTGACAATAGAATTTTTATATAATATAATAAAATTGGGATGGTAAGTTCGCTCGTGTTTTTGTAATAAATATTTTATGTCATATCAGTTTATAACTGGAATGCTTCATAAATAACATTTTTCTTATTTCGTAATACGCAGTTTATTATTTTAACATTTTGAACCACTCAAAAGATCCAATATTGATCAAAATATTAAACTACATTCATTATTTGATGACTGGGGATACGGGGGGTCGGATTAAATTTTTCGTTTTGCTATAATTTTTGAAATTAAAAAATAAAATATTATTTCAATAAATTAAATGAAAATTGATCATTTACTCTGCTCGAAATGCTCTCATTTGATCTACTTGGTATTAATCTATGCATGCGCTACATAAGTCGTATGTGTGTGCAATAAATGTTAACCACTTTAAATCCCGGCGGCAGCTATCTATTGCATTGTTTTATGTATCATTTCTAAAAAAAAACTCACATTGGCTATGTTATCATAATTCTCAAAATGTACTCCATAAACACTCCATAATTCTGACATTTCCAAACTACTTGTCATCAACATCTTACACCATCATTTTGCAGTATGCGCTTTGCAATATCATCGCAAAGAATTCATCGTTGGTTTCAAAAGTTTCTTTATGCATTTACATAGGCGTTAATATTCTAATGGGTAATTTCATTGTTACACTGGTTGTCTGATTTTAAATGTCTTTTCGATTTTTCGATTAGTGTCAGCAACGGCGACATCGTCAGAAAGTCGTCGAGATCAGAAAGTCAACGAGCGTCTTGAATGAGCTGTAAAAGTTGCATGACACTGTAATACTTTAATATTTATCATGTCGCTGTTGTTTTACTACATCATATCCGTTTTGATTTTAATCCCATCAAAGAAAAAATAAAATATGAAGAAGGAGAAGAACGGCACCATGTCACTTTGATGTCGTCATAAAATATAAAATGTAATGAATAAATGAGGAGAATGGTTGCGAGCAGTTGATTAAATTTCAAACAATAAAATGTCGTTCTTTCATCGCAATTTTTTCATCGCTTTTTGTCATTATTGCTATGCAAATATACAGTATCCATCAAATGTTTGAAGCATTGATAATTTTCAAATAATCACCATTTCACGGAAATTGAATATCTCCAAAATCATGGGCACTCATGATGTGTTATGTTTCCTGCTGTTTAATGAATTATTCGGTTTTGATGATGCAGTTTGATCGAAGGAATATGAAGTCTTGCAAAAAGTACACTTTTCGAATCGAACGCATCAACAAGCCAAGAGCAGATAAAACAGTAGATTGTCATGAAGATGACCGACTGAGAGAAACGATAAAATTGAATTTTGACGAGAATTGAAAAGAAAAGGAAGAAGCTTACGATTTTTAGTGTTTACAAGTATAATCACATTTATAATCATTTCAATGACAAAAAAGGTACACCTACCTATCTATATAGCTCGATACCTTTTATACTAACTACAGTATGTTTCATTATAGAGAGAGGTTGATTTAACTACCACAAATTTCAAATATCCCAAAAATGTTTTTGGTGTTGCCATATGAGACTCTAAGCTACTACGCCAATTAACAATGACAGCTCTCAAATCAGTACAGTGTTTGTTGTGCAACGAAAACATTATTTCCGAACATTTTCATTCACGGTTTGAAGCCGTTTTTCTGCATTTGCATCCAAAAGGACAAAGAATGTCGATCACATCGACTGCTAAATACATTAAAAAGTCAAAAGGGTTCGTAATAAAGTGAATCCAGCAGTATAAGCATGAAAAAAAAGTGAACGACCAGCCCAATCTGAAGCCAAACTGAGCCTCCTCGCAACAGGAAGATAAACGGAGAGTCAAGTTGTTCGATAAAAATTTAGGTATGTTGTTGAGCCAAGGTGTTGAACGGCTACGCCGTCTTAAAATAGAGATCTCGCGCTCTACTATCAGGAGAAGATTAGATGTTGCCGGTGTTCGTTATCGCAGTAAATTGAAGAAACCGCTTTTGACAGAAAACCAGAAGAAAAAGGCACTGACGGGGCAAAGCAAAATTCAACAAGAGATTGGAGCGAAGTTATATACACTGACGAGTCATTCTTTTGGCTGGTGAATAGCACTACCCATGCCTAGTCTAGAGCCCAAAAGAGAATGGTCGTTCGCACGGTAAAGTATCCGAAAAAGGTGCATGCTTATGGTTGCTTTTGTGAAGCTGGTTTTGGAAAGTTGACCATATTCACGGGGATTCCAAGCGCCGTGAGGATGAACCAACATTATTCATCGACACAGTTACCCATCGCTAAGAAGTTCTATGGCAACCACAATTCGAATTGGCTTCTATTAGAAGACAACGATCCAAAACACAAAAGTCGTCTATGCAATGCTTGGAAAGAGGAAAATGACATTAAACAAATGGACTGGCCGCCACAGTCACCCGATTGCAATCCGAACGAAAATGTTTGGGCTATTATTAAGGCATGGCTTTGTGGTAAAACATACCGCAATTTGAAGCAGCTCAGTTCATTCATTCAGCGCCAGTGGAAAGGTTTTCAAAGCGAATATGCTGAAAATTTGAGCAAAAGTATGCCGAATAGATGTGCCTGTGTGATCGAGAAGGCAGGAGAATGGATTAAATATTAATTTGTGGCGCCGTAGCTAAGATACTAAATAGAATGTATATAAAATAATTTTGTAAAACTCTTGAGTTTTATTATAAAAAATCAACCTCTCTCTATAATGAAACATACTGTACTTGAACACAACTTATGCCCTTACATGATAATTCAATTTAAACCATTTCTTTGTTATTAATTTATTACATTTTTCTCAATTGGATTAGATTCTTTGAAAATCGATATTTTTAAATGGTAAATTCTGAAACTTTTGCTTTCTTTCCACAGATAAATCAAACCTAAAATGAATGTGTCAACAATGATGCTGCTGAGCAACAGCACCAGTTTAATTCCAGCGGCTGCAGCGACCATGTCAATTGTGGCACCAATGACAATTCCCACAACTGCAACCACATTTACAGTGCCATTCATAGTGACTCGAACTATGCACGCCGTCAACAAAGCGAGTAAACACCACGTAAAAGACTTTTCGCCGGTCACACTGTCCACAGAATGGAGTCGCATGGCGCGATTATTAATTTTGGCATGTTTATCGGTAATTGGAAGCATAGGAAATGTGTTTATGATATCATCCGTTATGATCGAGGATCATTTAAAAAAGGCTGGTGAGTTCAAATGCATTGATTATCGAGAAAATTTTATTTTGATTTTATCCACATCTCCCCCCTTTTTTTCAATTCAAATAGCTCGACATTATTTTTCTACGAAAACACTTTGATTCTATTAGGTTTTCTTCTCTCCATACATTTTTCGACTCTTTCATTCACTTTAAATTTTTCGCAAGTTTATTCACTTTAGATAAAATTGATTCACATTCAAATTTTCTTCTTCGCTTCGCTAATTTTTTTTTATTTGTGAAAATTTAGTTCCCACTTTCACCTCAAGTCAGAGTTTGATTTAAAGTCGATAGTTCCTTTTTGTAACCAAGTGAATGACATTTATCGAAAATACTAAAAAAAAAACGATTTGTCAATTTAACATTCTGCTTCCATGGAATAAGTGTCGAATTGAGTTATAGTTCGTTTTCATTTTTCTCCCTTACTCTTTTTTATATTTATTCCTTTTTCTCTAGGGGGTAGACACAAACTAGAAAACTAAAAAAACAGAGAAAAATTAGGACTTATTAGGTCCTGCCAATGTACACGTTATATGCAATTTACTAAAAAAACTAAGAAAAATTTGCAATACTAAAGCCTGTGTCTCCCCCCTAGTTTTTTTTGCATTAATTTTTTTGCTCTGAATGGAGTTAATAAATTTTTTGAATGTTTTTGAAACCAAACCAAAAAAACTACCACGAATATTTCCAGGAAATGCATTTATAGTAAGTGTAGCGTTAGCTGATTTATTAGTATCTAGCATTTTGATACCAACATCAGTTATTGTTTTGCTCGCGGGGTTTGATGAAACGTCAAAGGAGATTTGTAGAGTGCAATGGTTGTTTGCTGCGATTGCATTTTTAGTGACTATTCTCTCTTTGGCCGTAAGTAATTCAAGTATACATACATATATATGCACTGAATGTCGTCTCTGTTTCATTTTCTTGTAGATTTCAATTTCCTTGTCATTTTGTGTCTCTTTGATTAATTCTAGCATATTTTCATTTTAATTTGATAGTAATTGTGTTTTCTATTTTTTGTTTTACATTTGTAGAAGCTTGATGCTTTTTATTTCGTCCGCATTTTACCCCGTTTCACTCATGCATCGTGTGCATATTACATATACATGCCTCTGCTATTCAACACGCATATATAAACTGTATATAAATATATGTAGGTACACCAAGCGAATTAATTGATCAACATATGACCTGTGTTTTTAATCAAAAATAATACAGATCTTTATCTATAAAGAATTATGAGTGAATTCCGGCATTCGAGCTTTAAAGCACGTACCTAATTTAAGCAAAAATTTACTGGGGAAATATGCTATCTTATTCTCTCGCTATTATTTTATATGCGCGATGTCAATTCGTCGCATTTTCTTGGCTCCAGTGTGCTTTTTCGTGCCACACATTTTGTGCGCTTAGTGAAAAATCGCATTTATTTTTTAGTTTGTTTGATTTTTGAAACAAAAAAAATAGTACCAGTTAAAATTATAACATTATTTAACGTATAACATAAATGTATGTGAACAAAAAAAAAATGTGTTTGATGTGAGTGATTTCATTTGTAAGGGTTTGTTCATTTCGAATTGGATTTTCTTTCGTACGTTCTTATTTGTTGTTGTTGGCTTCGTTACTAATCACTCTAACAATTGTTTCTTTGGTTTCTCATAGTTAACAGCGGTCGAAAACTATTTACGACTGTGTACGCCTCAGGATTCACCATCTTGGTTTAATCGGTCAAAGACAACCAGAATTATTTTGGTTGTATGGCTGGTGGCTGTTATCACATCTGGCATCCAATACACAACAAATGTGGGCTTAGATTTTTGTAATTGTGAATGGAATGGTTTGGCATGGTATTATATAGTCATCGTTGCGCTTTTAATCATTATTCCAGTAATAATTACAGTTTACACCCACATTTGCATCATACTGGACGCAAAACGTTTTATGAAACGACCAAATTTTAGGCGGAGTATCAAATACACATGGGATTTAGCACTGGTCCGTACGAATTTTTGCAGTTTCATCATATTTGTGATGTTTTGGTTGCCATTTGGTATTGTATTATCGTACAATACAATTGCCGGTACAAGGTCCTGCGTAAATAAGCGACTATTTTATACAACCGCTTGGATTGCTTTCGTCAAATCTTGCTTTCATAATGTCATTTATTGCATAACGAATCGTCATTTTCGAAACGCTTATGTCAACTTATTTCATTATTGTTGTTTGAAAACGGATGTCGCCGATGTAGCCGTATCGCGACGACGAAGAAGCGAGTTATGCACCTCACCTCGATCCGAACCGACTCATGTAAAAATATTTAGCGCATATTCTACCCAGCCACGATCAGATCAAGACATTAATCGTACGCACTTTTCACCACATAAACCCAACAGACAGCGTCAACTGGTCAGTCAATCGGGACTTAAGTATGCGCCGGTGTCTTCATGTGTTGCCGGATCAAGTACACATGAATGAATTTTCAATGCAATTTTGATAAAATTTTAGCGCTCTTGTGAAAAAATATTTCTCGATAGACCGCCTCTTATTTACTTATTTATTATTATTGTCGTGTATGAACAGCTCTTTGGATAGGGTACAAGTTTTTTTTATATATGTATGTACCAATAGTTGTATAGTTGTACAAGTTTATTGAATTCTACATTTTAATTGTGACATAAACTCAACACAATCTTCTTTACAGACGAACGCTAACTAATTTTAAATTCATAAGTTTAATAAAGTCAAAGCTGATAAAAGTATTCTTCATTGCTATGAATTTCATCCCCATGCAGTGTCCGAAATATGAACACAAAAAATTGCATATAAATGTGGATGAATTCATAAATAATGAATCAGTCGTCCATTCTATTTGTCCAGACCTTTAAATATGAACTAAATCTATGTTTAAATTTATGTAAAAACAGTGTTTCGAAATAAATGTAAAAAAAAAATTAAAATAAATTGAGTCTTTCATTTCTGAATCATATTCTATGTTTCCATTTACAAAGATTATAGTTGTAAATTATGATCTGGGCTTATAGGGATAACAGTCCGTCCATCTGCAGATACAGAGATAACTATCCATCCAGTTTAGCTCCATGTGTATCTGCGAATATCCATTGAGACTACCACAGCAGAGTTTGCTGATGTTAAATACAATGATAGAAATCATCAGAAAACATATCATCCATTGAATTAGGGCTGTCGGATTTTTGTCGCCTCTGAAGGGTTTTTTTGTCATTTTTTTGGATTTTCACTCAAAAATTCCAATTACGGATACAGACACACTTCAGCAACACTCAATATTTGTCAATAATTTATTATAATTTCTAAATTATTGATAATTTGAGTTTTTGAGTGAAAATCCACAAAAATGTCACATTACAACATGAAATTTCAATATTTTGGAAGTTGATAAAAAAAACTCAGTGAGGACTAAAATGCGAATTATTGTTATCCCTATGAGCCGGGTACAGAGTGGAAAAGTTCATCTTACTCATGTAAAACATTTTCTGTGCGATTCTTTTTGTGATCGATATGAACTTTTTGCTTGGTAGAGATACGATCAATTGTGCTTGGTCTATGGTGTTGCTTTTATTTACCATTTTTATTTTAGAATATATGAAAGAACGACACGGACAATTGTCAAAAACTATTGTATACGATTGAAAGTGTAAATATATGAGAAACGTTGTCGTTCTTTTAACCGTTTTACTCATTACACTAATTAATGTATAGCATAAATTATTTTACAAAAAAATGTATGTCGATGTACGTGGTTTCATGTGTAACAATTTGTCCATTTCGAGTTGTTATTTTTTGTATGTGTTGTCGTTCTTTTCATTATTGATACTTAATACTTGTTTTTCTTTGGTTTCTTATAGTTAACAGCATTCGAAAATTATTTACGACTATGCACGCCTCAGGATTCACCATCATGGTTCAACCGTTCAAATACTACCATAATTCTGTTGAGTGTATGGCTGGTGGCTGGCCTTGCATCGGGCGTTCAATATATAACAAATGTGGGCTTTGATTTTTGCAGTCGTGAATGGATCGGTTTAGTATCTTATCAGAAAACCATCGTTGCGCTTTTAATCATTGTTCCGGTTGTCATCACATTTTACACTCATATGCGCATCATTCTGGACGTAAAACGTTTCATGAATACACCGAATTTCAAGCCAAGTCTTAACTACACATGGGATTTGGCATTGGCTCGTACAAACTTTTGTAGTTTCATCATATTTGTGATGTTTTGGTTACCATTCGGTATTGTATTATCGTACAATACGATTGCCGGCACAAGGGCCGGTGTAAGTAAGCGACTATTTTATACAACCGCTTGGTTTTGTTTTGTCAAATCGTGCTTTCATAATGTCATTTATTGCATAACAAATCGTCATTTTCGCAACGCTTATGTCAATTTATTTCATTATTGTTGCTGTAAAACAACGGTGTCAGTGTCGCGACGACAACGAATCGAAACATGCCGTCCACCATCTGATGTACGCGTCCATATAATTCCTGGGTACAATATGTATTCGTACACGAGTCCACAGCGATCAGGAAATTGCCATAATTATTGGAGCAAACGAGATGTGCATGAATTATGATCTGAATAGGAGCACGAACAAAAACGATTTATTCGCGCAAGAATGCATCAGTCACACGCTGTGGACGTTGTCTAATTTAATTCTATATAACGATGAAATGCATTAATATTATCGTCGTAGTTATTACTATTTCTATTTATCGTGATAGATGTCGCCATTTTTTGCTTGTCATATTCAGTTGTGTTCGGTCTATGATGTTGCATATATATGAGCATGAATGCAATACGTTGACAGTTTACTTAGTACTGAATCATCTTCTCTCAACTACCAATTAGCCAAGAAATTATCATACGATTACCGGATGATGTCCACAATCATTTCTCATCAACACATCATACCAAGAGCGTAAGTTTGATGAATTGCCGATTGAACAAAATAGATAATCAACAATTTTATCGAGAAAAAAATATAGACCATATATTTGATTATTTTTTTTTATCACAAAACAAACTAAACAAGTTGAAGACAAATTAAATATAGTGTATAACATCGATGTTGATTAAAATACGTTGACGTTCCGTGCAAATTTAAACTATTTTTAAGAGTATGTCTTTTTTACTAGCCGCCAAATACATATTTATAGCCAAATAAATCAAAAGTGTCATTGTTCCATTTGAATCGTTTACATAAATTTGTTTCGTACAGACAATATATTTGGATTTTGTCATCTGAATATTTTAGCTCATCTGATTAGATATTAAAAATACTACCATAACTATAACAATAATTTCTATTGTTTTCACTCCGTATCATTATCAGGCAATTGCCTAACTTCATCCAGATGAGCTGAAATATCCAGATGACAAAATCCAAATATATTGTCTGATTTCGTATGATGAACATTGTTGGGCAATAGAAAAAATCGATGATTTCGATGTTCATTGTAAAAGTGAAATTTTGAATTTGTTCGCCTAACGATTTCGGAAAAAGGTTATGTTATATTTTTTTTCGCAAAAACATGCCAGTAAAAACTGAAAAGGGCCATCACCGCAAATCATTAATTATTGTGAATGAAATCAACTAAAATTTACTTTATTTGATGCTATAAACATGAATGTTTGTAATGTATGCCAAAAAGGGTTATGTATGCCAATCATATAATGCACAGAGGACGGCAGTTCTCACGAGTGACAAAACCATATGGGTGTGGTGAAAAGTCCAAGTAGAAGGCCTTTCGTCGTGATTTATATATGGTTGGAAAGCCTTTGACCCGAAGATTATGGAAAACCATTGAAGCTTGGAAATCGGTCCACCTGTTTCCAAAATATGACCCTTGGTCGGATACATAACGATAATTTTCTCGAAAAAGGCTCTATAGTTCTATTTTTGAAAATTATTCATACTGATTTTGGATCCAAGTCAAGATGTATAAAATGTTGCATAGCTCATATTTGGGAATGCTCGTTTTTAAGATATGGCTTCTAAGCCAACATGTCACGCCTTGACCGAACATACCCAGGATATATCCATATCCTCAGAAAGGTAGTGAAAAAATTGTCTTATTTGCAAATTTGAAATATCAATTTGGCCTCCCACAAATACAATGCGGCCGATTTCTCGGAAACATCGCGAACGTCTTTTTTGGAAAACTTCATCAATTTCAGCCTAAAATCAAAGCAAAAAAATGTTCTGCTACACATCACTAATTATGAGCCATAATTTATGACACTTTGAGAAAAATAACCAAACATTTTTCATTTTCATTGATTTCGAAATTATTTAAATTCTGAGTACACATGTTTACTCTTTTGCATTTCATACCTCGACATAATTTTTTTGATTTGATAACTTCTACATGTACATTTGTGCTATGGATTTATAAGCATGATTTTTATCAAAGAGAAATATCCAAAGCTTAAGTGGATTTATCAGGAAAGTCGTGGATTTTAAGCGACATATTTAGATAGAGTATTTTCATCAAGACAAATCTAATGGTAAGAAAAACAAATCCATAAATTGATTATGGCTTCGTCATTTACTATAAATTGACATTAAAACATCATTTATCCAACTTGATGGGTCATGTACGTAGTATGAAACCAACAGCATAGACGTCTCATTCATTGATTTCGCATTTCACTCGAGTTCATTTTATCTTCGTTAATTCCTTCGTTTTTCAACAATCATTTCCGCCTTTTAATCAAGTGAACTCAAGCATCACATGAGGTAAACACCATCAAAAACAAGGAGATAGAGGTTAAATTATTGTTATACTCGGTATGGTACAATTTTCATTCTCATTGTCATCGCAAATTGAAGTGAACAAAACGAGCCGAACTTAAGTGCTTTGCTCTCATTTTCATTAGTATTTTACTATTATTCTTGTCAATTTCACTTCAAATTACACTCATCAACGAAATTATCCTTTATTTATAAGGAAGCACTTCATTTAACAAATCATTAAGCGGAGACTGAGCTGAGCATCACTTTTTCTGATGATTCGGCGACAAATTTAATGAAAAATTAAAACCATTATCTTTGATGCAGTTTTGATTTCATCAATGATTGTTGTATTGAATCTTATTGAAATAATTGCTCAAAAATGTAACAAAGAAATTTTCTTTTCCTCAATGCACAATTCTCTTGAAGAAATCTCCTGTTTTTATTATGTTACATTAGAAAAATATTTTCCAATTTTGTTTTCAACTTTCATTGACAGCCGTTTCAAATCCAAAATTAAATGAAAATCTCCAAACAAAATAGGCGAAATGGAAACATGAAATCTATACATTGGATAAATGATGAAAATTCATCATCCTGTGTCAAAGTCGTGCCGAAAAAAGACGAAACAACGAACGAACACATATGTAAGAGTGTGTGTTCGCATTCAAAATAATAGATGGATTCAATTGAATAAAAACTTTCATTCATGTGTCATCATAATGAAAACACGTTCTACTTGACGCAAAATAAATGATTCAATTTTCTTGATTCGAGAACACGTTAAACTTTTATAAGCTGCCTGCAAGTTTGTTGTTTTGATAAGTTAGGCAATAGTTTACTTTTGCGCAAAAAAGAATAGAAAGCGACGATGAATTATATCGAGAGCGTTTCCAAAATAGATAGAGAGACATACATCAAGGGAGAAGTCAAGTGCATGTGCGATACGGAGCGATTTACTTGTCAAACTTTGTTATATCACAAAAATAAGTTTAAATTTAGTTTTTCAAACCAACATTGCATGGGTTGTCGATGAAAGTTATGGTATCGTACACACAGTGTGCCATGCACATTTTCTCATCAACTGTTATAATATGATATATACATGTACATCATAAAATTTCATATGATCACATTCTTGCGCACACACAGTACCAATCAAACAGTAAACGTTCGTTATCCGATGATTTCTGAAGAAAAACACAACAAAAAGAAGAAGAATATGATGGAATAAAACGTGTGAACGTGTTACATTGCTATTGAATAAAAACCAACGACAATGTCATCAACTGACTAAAAACCGAACTTAGTTTCTTACTCAAATAGTTTAACAACACAACCATCACCACAGCTATGCCACTTGTGTCTTCGAAAATTTCTCTCCTTTTTCTTTCTAATTGAAAATATGTTGGCTGTTAAGCTAAACCCACACACATTTCAACCGGAGAAATGAAAAATGAATATAACAATAATTTAACTATAAACACTGTCGAAATCAGCCTCTCATTCAAACACAATTTTGGTAAACTTGAAAATAACACTCAATTTTTGTTTCTGACAAAACAATTCAAATGTATTCACATCTAGAACATATCAATATAGCTATTGAATGTCGTCGTTTTGAAATTATCCAACAAATTGTCGTCAAACTCATAATAATGTAATGACAATTTTTGGCGAAAGCGCTGAATTAGATAAATTAATATAAACGATTTTGAACTGTGCACATTCACGATTCATTTATAAATATTTACAAAGCAGATATTCATAACTATACGCTCTTTATGGATGATAAAAAGTGGATAAATAACAACAAAATGCAACATTAATTTTTGATTAAAAATAAGTGGCTAAATAACGATTGTAAATTTATTATAATTATGATTTGTTCGCATATATTTACCATAAATTTTATTAAATGTTTTTCTTTCATTTTTTGTACGATATAAACTTGCATGAGTTTAAAATAAAAAGATTGTATTCACAAACTGAATGTCAGTTTTTACATTGAATCACATCTAAACGTTTAAATGACAAATAATAATAATTAAACATATTAATGTACTAATCAATGGATAATGGACATACATAGCAATGTCTTTATCAAATTCAAATGTGCTAAATATCATTAATATTATTACTATAAATAGACAGATTAAATGCGACGGTACGCGGGGCACGATGGAAGGGAATTAAATAAACAATGCCCGATGACTTGTGCATTAATCTATTCTTATGAAAAGCTAGATACATTTCGTGAAATTTGCTTTGCAACGCAAATGAATAATAATGACGGAGCCTGTCGGGCTAATATACATTGATAAAACCGTGTTTGTCTTACTTGTAGCATCGATGCTTTTGATTATTTTGTTCATATTTTAACCAGTCTACGTATTTTGGATGGATATCCAACCGAGATATTTCAGAATATCTGCATATTTAACGAAACTGTACAGAGTTTGCGTCGCTTCTTATGTATTTTTCATGCAGCACTTGATACACATATACATGTGAGACGAATATAGCGCTGGCTCTGTGTAGTTGTGTTAAATATCCAGATATTCTGAAAAATCTTGGATGGATATCCATCCCAAATGCATAGACTGATTTCAACCGAAAATGCAATAAACATAATCATAGATGCTTACGAAGGATTTTATGGGATCGGATTATCCCAGTAATGTGCGAAGGGGTTTACCCCCTCCCTGTGATTTGGATGAGAAATTTTTTTTCGCGAAAATTATTCGAATTGGCTAGGATTTTTGATTCTAAAAGTGAAGACCTTTTTTTTAGCTTATCAATGTAGAAAATTGAGGAGAATTCTTTCAATTTCCTAGGTTTTTTGGTTCCGAGTGAATTTTCGATTTGCTAAGGATTTTCACCTCAAAAGGTGACTTCCAAAAGAAAAAAAACGAAAATTTGTCTGATTTGCTAGAGAAATTTTTGGTTTCGAAAAACCACCCCCCCTGAAAAATTTTCCTCGCACATTAGTGGATTAACCCCTTTCTGTAGAACTGTTTAACTCATTTTCGAGGCGACATTCTTTTTGATAAAATAGGAACCATTGCATCAACTAATATCAACAAATATCTGCACAAGATACAAAGAGTACATCAACTTATTGAATACATTGTTTTTATAAAAATCATTTATAAGTTTAAAGTACATAAAAATTTGTCCATTTCAGGCATGAAAGTTTCACAAAATCTCCAGCTTATATAGTTACAATGTGACAGGTTACGACAATGTAATTTAAAAAAAACTTTCAGATATCTTTTGATTACATTTTCATCAAAAATATTGGCAAATTATTACATTTTAATTAATGTCGCCGAAATTGAATTTTTTTTCTTGCGCATTAATAACCAACCGCACTCGCTCAACAAGAAAATTTTCGAAAAATGCGCCGAATAAACTGTCACATATGTTAGATATTTAAAAAAAAATAATGATAACAACAAACCATGAATGATTGCAACATTCGCATAGAGAAAGGTAGCATATCAAGTCATGCATTATGAGAACGTCTACTACATTTATTTACGATTTAATTTTCTTTCAATAAGTATAAATTTCGTCGCTCATTGCTTTTATTTATATACGTGTTGTAAGGCGTTTCTTACGGAAGAAATAAGAAGAAAATAATAAATATACGAAAACGTTGAAACATATTGAGTAAAGTTTTCAATATCAAAAACAATGGAAACAATTTTCTCGATTTTCCGTCAGTTCTTCTTTATTTATTTCGTTATTCATGTGTAATATAAAATGAATTAAATGTGTTGCCTTTTTAATAACTGTGATGTATTTCTATAAAATGTATGAAACAAAAATACACTACAAAATATGTATTAAAATATATATAAATATTGAACGAATTATGAAAGGAATTTTTATTTATGCTGAAAGGAATGTTAATCAAGCTCTACACTTGAGCGAGCATTAAGAATGTTTTGGCAATAGTTGATAACCAAATAAGAGATTGTATGTGTTGTATATTCGTAATAAATGTGATGTATTTTGTAAATGAACGTTTTATCCATGTTTAAGTTATGTTTATAATAAAAATATTTCTGCAATATTTTTTGTTTGGTTTTCAGTGATTCGCATTCAATTTTTATGTTTTTTATTAAACGATATCGACATTTTAATCATGATTAAAGCAAAGAAGAAAGTGTGAAAATTTCACATGAATGGGTAAGAATAATCATGAGCTCCAAACATTATTTAAAAAAATACTGATACAAGACGATGAATTAAAATAAATGAGATACTAACTCGCGTTTAAAATAAATCTGATACTTGAACGAATTGAAAATAAATGTGATACATACCACTTTTATTTTCAATATCTTTCAAGTATCAGATTTATTTTAAACGCGAGTTAGTATCTCATTTATTTTAATTCATCGTCTTGTATCAGTATTTTTTTAAATAATGTTTGGAGCTCATGATTATTCTTACCCATTCAAATAATAATACCATAAAATGGGACCATTTAAATAAAGCAAATGACTTGAAACAAAAAAAAATCTAAAGAATGATATCTATAAGCATAACACAAAACCTTAGAAAAACCGCCAAAATACAAAGATGTATAATGAGATATTTTTTTTATATTTCGAAATGTTCATTCGCAAAACACGAAACTGTGGGCTCTTTTGTGTATGTGCAATTTGGAAAATTACAACATATTACGATAGATGATCATTTGAAATGTCTAGTTTCCTATTGGTTCCGTCTCCGTCTCTCAACAAAAATGAATTCTTTTGGGATGATTTGGTACGATAACGAGAATCAACGTCATCGAAAATGGGCATGTGTGACGATAAATGTATTAAGTAAACCAACTGCGTGTTACGTGTGTATGTTATATATGTATTTTCGTGGACGTGTTAATAAAACTTCTCGGGGAAAAAATTGTTGCTTGCATTCGCTATAAATATTCGATGATTTTTTTTTTATTGAAATTGCGTGGGATTCAGGGGGTAAAGGTTAACTATTGCACCACAAAATCGCGATTCAATCCACAGTAATCGCTTCGTATGTGCTTGATGAGTAATCTTTTCTATCTGTCGAAAGAAACAGAAAGACAGAAAAAGAAGAAAAACGATAAAAAAAAATAACCAAAACGCTCATGAATTCGCGTGGCAGACACAATAATAAAGAACCAGTCAACAAAGCAGAACAATAGATAGCAGCTGAAAATATATCTTAGCCATAAAATGAAATGAGTAACGTTACCCGGGAATGGGTGTGTAAAAAAGTCGAAATTTTCTCATAAAATCAACGAGAAAGTTTTCCATTTTCTTCATGAACAGAGAAACAACAAAAATATAGGCAAAAGAAGTCGCATACAAGCACTGGTACACATACCAATGCAACAGACAATGTAACAAAATTTATTGAAAGAGAGAAAAATGAATATGTTCTCGGCAAATGAAAGTATGTGAAGTTTAAGATCAATTTTGATTATAACGTGGTCTACAATCGCCGAAATGAGGGAATTTTATAATATTTCACATTTTTCGTTTCATTTATCTGTTTTATGCGTTGTTACCTAATCGTTTTGCGTAAATATGAAATATGATGAACACTAGGCTTGTCCAATTTTTTTGGGAAATTTGGATTATGGAACATAGGTGATAACGAGGGTTCCTAGGGTTCGAATTACCCTCCTCTAAAATATTTTTAGGAACCCTCAACAATTTTGGAAATCAGGACCTTTTTTTTGCTCTTCACTTTTTTTGTCCGAGAAAATTCTTTCGATTTGCTAGGGTTTTTCGCCAAAAAAGTTAAGAGCAAAAAAAAAAAACGATTTTATCCTCATTTCCGACAAATTGTTCACTTCGTCAGGGACCCCCCATAGATTTTTCCAGGGACCCCCTACGGAATTTTTCCATCACACCCCCTAAAAAAATTTTCGTCATCATCTATGATTATGGAACCTTAGGAACCCTCGTCATCATCTATGGATTATGGCATTAAAATTTCAATATTACGGAAATGCACAAAAAAATTCAAAACTGAACAAAATTGTACAAGCCTATTCATCACAAATTACTACAAATTTATAATAATAATGGTTGCTACGTGGACTTATAGGCTTTTATGAAAATACACAGGGTGGACCAGAATTTCTGTGGGGCTTACGGTATATTGAAACATTTAAGATGGATGTGATAAGGGGCGTTATTGTTATTGAAAGATGTCCAGATATATTAAGCGAAAATACATACAATTCAGTCCATATTTATTATTTTACATGCCAACAAAAAAAAAGGTTTACAGTTTCGAATGAACTCGAAAAGAAAAGAAAATGACACACGCAACATATAGCAATAACAAAGCAGATTGAATATATCACGAGGCGGAATATTGTATAAATCGACATATGAATGTTAATTGTGCTTTGAATGTTTTAAGTAACTCTTATCTATGTAAAAGATCAAAAATATGAAAAAAATAAAATTTTTGAGAACAGAAAATAAAATTAAAGTCAAAATACCCAGCGTGTTTTTGTTCATATGTCATTTTATTGTAAAAATATGAATTCCTTGTGTGTAAGCACTTGTCTGTACAATGTGTTGCTATGTCTCTCAAAGTCGTATGTAATTTATCAGAAATAGTTGAGAGCACTTTTCGTCTAAGGCTGCTTTGTCATCATCATCATCATCCAATCGGCTAGTATAGAAACCATTTTTGCAATGGTCTTGAATAATAGCCGAAATCTCAGTAAGTATAATCATCCATCAAATGAAATGGCTTTAACCACGCAAAGCATTTTCATAGATTTCGACTACTCGATATTGTCGTATCAAATCAACATTTCGAATGCATGCTGCTGAAGGTTCAACTGGTAGTTCATAGCACAACGGCTTTGCACCGGAATAGAATGCATTTGCGCCATTGAAAAATTCGATGTACCGATGTTGCGTTTGCTGTAAAATTGAATCAAATATCTCCGAAATGCACGGGCATTGCCATGGATTTCCCTCTAGCGTAATTTTTTCCAAATATTTAAAAGTGTTTTGTGTATTTGGTAAAAATGTTAATCGATTATGCTTGATTTGTAGTTCCGTTATTCGATTGATGCTATCCATAATTTTTTGTGGAATAAATTCGATGCGGTTGTTATTCAATTGTAGTTTCTTTAAGTTGACAAGCGGATCAAAAATGTTCTCGTCAAGCGTCTGAATTTGATTATGCGCCAATGATAAAAAGTCAATATACGGAACAGCATCAAATGTGCGCGGTTGCACACTACCAATATTATTCTTTTGAATGAACAATTTTTGCAATGGCAATATTTGATTGCCAAAAATATTATTATTTATGTTACGCAATAAATTCGAGCTCAAATCAATTCGAAAAATCGATTGAAGTGGTGCAAATGTGTTCGGTTGTATATTTAAAATAGCATTATTTTTTAGCAACAGTGTATTTAAATTGGCCAAACCGACGAATGTTTGTTCATCAAGTTCGTTGAGTGTATTCTTTGAAATGTTTAAGTTAAGAAGCGATTGCAATTCCCGAAATGCTGAACCTTTAATTTTATTCAAATTATTTTCACTCAAATCGAGCACATGCAGTCGAATCAAACCTTGGAATGTGCCTGACGATATTTGTCGAATACTGTTCCCCGATAAATTTAACTCTTTTAAATTTTCAAGTGCACTGAATACTCCATCTCGTATCGTTGCAATTCCATTTTGCTCAAGCTGCAGATGAGTCAGTGAATCCAAATTCCGGAAAACGTTGTTCGATAACTGTTGATTGTATAACATATTTGTTGCTCTTTATATGGTAAAATTAAAAAAAAATAGCAAGAAAATCTGACAGACACTACTATTGTGATCATTTTCCGGTAGGACTTTGGCATTTTGAAGGAAACCGTTGAAGGAATTTCATCATCCTTTTTATGGCTAAATAGTTTCATCCTTCGTGCACTTCTAAAGCAATCTAAGAACATTTAAATCAAGTATTTGTTGAGATTTCGAGCAAAGTTTTCAACTATCAAGCAACTCAATGTGATGTCAAAAATCTAATGAATGATATCTCTTAAATTTTTGTACAAAACTCGCACTTTTTCCATTTCATCATCTTGGAAAATCAACATAATCATGGCCCGTACGCGAATAAACAGGTTTGAGGTAGAAGTTTTTGTGTTTCAAGTGAAAATGTGCTAAAAAATGAAAAATTACCCATTTTTGGACCTTTTTTGAGTTTTTATTCATTACAATCGAATGTTCAATTTACCCATAAAAGGGATGATGAAATTCCTTCAACGGTTTCCTTCAAAATGCCAAAGTCCTACCGGAACATGATCACAATAGTATATTGAGACATTTCCAGGCAACTGATTCAGCTTAGGAAGCTTACATCAGGTAGTGAAATGGACTGAAAACAATAAATTTAAATCAGTTCTATTATTTTCACTCCATTTCAGCGCCTAACGTTAGTTCCCTGGCTGAAAATATCTCAATAAAATGTCTGAAATGTGAGTATGCATATTTGCTTACTTCGTTTATTGAATTTTCACCCAAATCCAACGAATGCAATCGGCTCATATGGCCCAACGGTGCCATTGTTCGTATTCTATTGAATCTGAAATTTATATGCGTCAATTGATTGAGATCTTGGAATACATTTTGTTCAATACTATCGATATTGTTGTCCATCAAATTTAATAAACGTAATTGCTTCAAGTTTCGGAATTGTGACCTAATGAATGAATGAAATGTTACATTTAATTGTATAAGCCATTTTCAATGTTCTATATAAAAAGAAATTATTCATTACCGACGCAACGAAGTCACTTCGTTGTGACTCAAATCCAAATCCAGAATAACATTATTGCTGCCAAACCAACTGTCGTCGATTGATCGAATTGATGCATTTGCTAAATTCAAGCGTTTTAACGACGCATAATGTATAAAAGCTGAATTGGGAACGATTATTACACCGATGTGACCTGCAACAAATTGCAACAATTGTTTATATATTTCCATTGTTCAAACGAATGTGCCAGTCCTACATACTCAAATCCAAATCTTGCACATAATTCACATGATTGCCATCCGTATCTGTAAAAGTGAGTTGCCAATTATGGATTAGTATTCAAAAAAATTGTCATTTTACATTTGACTCATTTGGAGTCAATCTCACATCCATTATTATGAAACACTCTACTCTGATATATGCTCGCATACGATGTAAAATGATGTTTTCAAATTGTTTTATGGTATCTCATATTCGTGTGATGAAATTTGTCGATCATTCATTCCATACCTGCAAGTGAAAAGGATCCAGTGTATGCAAGAACTTTGATATGCTTCCATGAGGGTCTAAATTCTCTGGAGAGTTCACGCATATAATTTGAACTGCCACATGTTGCACTTTCAGTTAAAAAGGTAAAAGCGCATCTCTGAATTGATGTCGTTTGTTGAAATTGGGCCCATGCATTCGAAATTAGACACAAAAACAATACCACACGTTTTCCATCCATATTTAATTTTTTTTTCTGATTTCTGAAATGTCTTTTTCTTCTGAATGGAATTGATTCATAATTTTGCCAAAACCAAGACCAACAAATTTTTCATACTAAAGTCACACAAAAACTAAATCTCGACACGAGAACATATAATTGGTTATCTGTTAAAGAAACTGGAAATCAAAGCGTGTGTCGTAGTTCAATGATATGATTTTATTTTATACAAATAAAAATACCAACAACAAACAAAATCACAACATATCAACAAATGGTCACAAACATTGTTGCGAGTACGTGAATGAACACAAATATGAGAATCGATTCAATCATATTTTAGTGCTTATAATAGACTTATTATCAATAATATTATTGATAATACAATTATGAACGAACTGACGGGAAAAAAATGCGTGAGCGATATATGTCCGCTCCAGTCAAACCAGTTTCGGTTCAGGTTCACTGTTTTATTTTAGTTTATCGTTCGCTTCTTCTCTCACCTTTATAAATACTCGTTTCGAAATCTATACAAATACATTGAAACAATCAAATCATATGTGCTCACCATATTGATATCAATAAACAAAACTATTTAATTTAAAAAAAAAGGGGAATTCAACAGTTAGGAATTAATCAAACATTAAATAAATTAATCTATTTTTAATAATTTCAAAATTTTTTTTTTTTTAATTAATCGAACAACAAATTACTAAATTTCCAGAGCTGTTAAAGGTTCCCCGATGGTGCGGACATTTGGCGTGTAAGTGCTGTTTTCAGGTGCAGCACTTGAAAAATTATATGAAATAATAGTTAGAGAGTTATATGAAATAAGTTCGGGCACTCCGGTGCCAATAACAGATATATTAAAACATATATTATAAAGACGTCGAAAATCTTTTGTAACAATTGGATTTTTTTTTAAATGCGATTTTATTCAAACACAAAAACGAACGATGAACTTCAGAATAATTTACAAATTTCTGAAAACGGCCAACTGAAACTTTTTATCAGTGTGCTGAATGAATAGATGTCGCTATAATACGTTTTTCTCAAGCTCAACGCACGTAAGTTTCAAATTATTGCTTTGCTTGAAAGTTGAGCTTACGCGTTGGGATGTTCTTAGATTTCAATAGATTGCGATGTGCTATCAAATCAAATGAACATTGTGCATTCAATACGTTCACTTTTTTGTGTTTAATATAATTTTCCAAATTCGGCGGATAAATTGGGCAACCAGCTGAATGATGCAAGGAAAACGACTCAAAATAAATCCTGTGAAAAATGCGAATAGTTTTTTTTTCTCTGCACCACCTCCTCCTCCTGCCTCTCTATCTCTTTGCCTCTTTAACAGATTGCTTGTATACATATTACAATTTACCAGATGTCTTACAAGTTTATCGTGTTCATAAATCAATTCATAGGTGGAAAAAAGCGTGCTACTAAATGATTTCACATGTACATATATTTTAGTATACTGTATGTGACGTGATCTTGGCCCACAAACCAAATTTCAATGTCAGCATAAGATACACATTGGAATGAGCGCACCGAAAAGCTTGAAATGAATCGCTGAGAATAAATGTTTAATTTTAAAAGAAGAAACGATACACCAAATGTACAAATTCACTAAATACTGCGAACGGCTCGATCGATTTGACGTTACGTGTATATGAAGACATCGAATTATTTTGTGAATAACGTTGCGTACGGTCACCGCGTATATGGAAAAATATCGCACGATTTTGGCCAAAAAAGATTGTATACACACAAACCCCACGGAATCAGAGTGCTTTTGATGAAATACTGATTGCACTTATTAAATTACATGAGAATAAGAAAAACAGTGGACATTTTAAACGAAGAAAATCAATACAAATTTTCATACGTTTTAATGCATTTTATAACACATCAATGATAACTCTATCGTACAAAATTCACTATGCCAAATCAACAGGTATTAATAGTTTGACTTGTAACCCATTACCTTCACATGTGCCGCTTCAGTCCATATAAATACCGTCAACTATTAATCAATTTAGTAAGCTGGGTTTTAATTTCGTGATTGTTAAGTGAGAGCTATAGCTATAGCTATATAGAGGGAGATCAAAAAATAAAAATAAAAGTTAATCAAATATCAACCAGTTCGGTCGGCATTGACAATGACTCAACTATGAAAAAAAAAAATACAAATAAATCTATACATACATGAGCAATCAAGTTCCGCATATATGTGAATTTCAAGTTTCGCTCGCTTTTCTTTTTCTTTTAGTTTTTTTTTGTATTTTTTTTTCCACTAGTATTTTTGGAAATTTCAGGAGTATATTCAGTTATTTTTGGAAATAAAGCCGTATTCGCTTGGCGCTTATGTATATTAGACATAAAATTAATTATTTATGTATATTAGAGCAAAAATGATGGACACACGAGACTATTGGGCGCCGGCAAAAATGGCAAAAGATAAACAACAGAAAAAATGAGCATTACATTATAATAATAACGTGATCACATGCATACAACTGAAATTCAGCCAATTCTTTTTCAAAAAATGTATCACCAGTGATTATTATGCATTCAACGAATTCATCCTAACTGTAAAAGTTCCGGTAGGTTTTATTTTCTGCCCTTTGAATTATATCCCAAAATGCCCGGTGTCTTCAGCGTTTATTTTGGTTTCATTTTTTATCAACGCATTCGAAGAAGATTTAAATTGGTAAATAAAATTATTGTTTAGACAACATCAACAGCAATGGATGATACACCAATGAAATGCTTTCCGAAAATATTTTTTACCTTATGCAATCCAAACAAAAAAGAATGAAATTCCGAATGGCGTCGTGGTCGACGTCATCAGCGAAATTTCTCCGGCGCTCGGCAGCATTCCAACAGCGACCGTTATTTATCAGTTCAGAAGAAAGCAAAAATAAATTATTTCGTAATATGTTGGAAACTTCGCGACAATACAAGCTAAAAATAAAGTAAAGAGTATCAAAACAAGAATTTAGTAATCCACACTCTCCGAATACAATTAATTTCACCGGAGCGCTCGCGCGCACACCTCGCATATCTGACTAACCAACCAGCTAACCGCAACATTGCTTTGTATTGATGTGTGCACGTTTGCGATGTGCTAGTGAAAGAAATTTCTCTCTCGTTGTTTTTTTTTTCTGTCTTCTCTAAACATATGGGTGCGCGTATTTCATGACAGAACAGTTGCATGACCAATTGGATTTTAAATCATTCCTATGCCACAATTTATGTGTATACCAAATGGCATGGATTAAATCTCAATAACATGATATTTATAAAGAAAACTTTACTGTGATCAACATCACTTTTCCACCGAAGCTTTTAAAAAATCCCGTTCAATACATTCAAATCGAAAATAAAACATGCTAAAAGTACGTTTCAATCAGCACGTAATCATCCGAAAAACGTATTTAGCATTTATTTCTTTTATCGATCGGCCAACCACATTATATATGTGCAGAACAACGACACAAAACGAACGGAACTTTTATGCATTACATCTCAATTTGACGACAAAAAATGACAATAAAATGAAGCCATTTGTTATTCAACATTTGAATTATCCATTCCAGTAAAATTGGCGATTGGCATATTGCAGAATAATTCGCATAAAATTTCAACAAACGAAAACTTATACAATTAGTATTTCAATTCAAATCGCCCAATATTTTACTTTGTAATCATTTCAAAAATCTATTTCATCGCATGCTGATTGTATTTGTATTGAATTTGTAATTTCAATTTCGTTCCATTCGCAAACATTCTCTTCGAGGTGAGAATGAATCCAATGTTAAAAAAGGTGAAATAAGGAAAAGTAATAATTGTAATGATTCACATTCAAATTCGTTAAGCACTTCTTGGAATTTGCCATCCAACTGTACTTTAAAATATTTTTACTTATAGCGTACTAACCTAAATTTGTTGTGATTAATTCATTTGTTTTGCCTTAAGATTTGCCTGCTGCTGTTGCTGCTGTGGCTGCCATGAGTAATGACTTCCATTGTAACTGTCAAATTTCTCGCATTCATCTCGATCTTTCTTCCTAATAAAAATCTTCCATGATTCATACGAAATGGAAAAAAATCGAATGTGAAAGAATCAAACGGAATGCGTCATCAAAATGGTGAATAACAGCGTTATTTTTTTTAGTAAGAAATATAATTAAATTTTACCGTTACAATTCGATGACCATCACTGTTTGTATAGATCACACTTTTTTTATCGTTCATTTCATTTATCCTCATGTTCGCTCATATTAGTTGTTTATATGTGTTCGATTTATTGATTTAACTGGAAAAAATTTCCACCCAGTAGGACCACGTACATTATACTTACATTTTTCGACGAAAATATTCGAGTTGCATTCGGTTAAAGCGTAAAGGTGGATGTACTAATAATGACTGCAGGACCGTTTCGAAAGAAATTGTTATTTCGTGTGGGAATTCCAAATTCTAATTTCAACCATATCCAAACAGGAGTCTTTGACCGCATCACAAATATTTTAAGGTCATTTATTTTATTAGCATATTAGCTTGCATATACAAATGTTACACCTTTTACAATGTAAACAATATTAGCTATTGATCGAATCAGAATATGGCGCCAATCGTAAAAGATTTGTTCATTCTTTCAATGGAATTTGTCACTCTCTTCGCATTGTCCAAAATATTCAATAAATTTTTTCCATTCAGATTCCAATGAGTTATGTAAAACAAAAGTATGCGGCAACTCTTTTCCATTTAAACATAAAATATGTTTTTTTTTTTCGTCAAAACAACTTTGGTATTTTTTTAGATTCCATATCGATGAGTGTTGTTGTCATCGTCGTCCGTTCATTCTAATTCTAAGTCATTAATGTAACCATCTGAGTAAAGTGGGTCAAACACACCGGCTTATTATTTGAATTCAAATATTTTTCGATTGAAACGAATAGTTTTTGTTTATTTCTGTATCCGCTTATTCAGCATAACAATATTTTATTAACTTGCGCAACGAAATTCTATATCAGTCTATTCTTCAATCTTCTTTGGATGCAATTTGTTGGTGTTGATTGTTGAATTGCAAAAATCCAAATGTAAATTACATCATTCAAAAGATGCAAAGATCAATAAAAAAAAATGCAAATCCAAAAGTAGAGATATTGTGCCCAAATGACACAATACTTTCTCTACATATTCATCAAATTAAAAATACGATAGAATTGGCATCAAATGTCTATGCAAAATTCGAATCCATAACATTCATCGATATAATTTTGCTTTTTCTTATTCTGAAACTGTTGCTTTCTCGAAAAAAATCGTCTCGTTCGACGTTTAAATATGATAATTAAATCACCTCAATAAATGTCGATTCATATGCCCAGTTCTTCGGCGACT